AAACACTATGGAAAAATTAATTCTGTGAGTGAATAATTAGTGATAGAGAAGTGTTTATGATTCATTAATAACAGAAGTAGATATTAAGAAATATGTATTAAAATATTTATGCCATTTAAAATATATATCTAATTTTGAATGTATTAATATGTGTGTATCTATATCTATTTCTTTATATAGGTATCTATATCTGTATGTGTGTGTATGTGTATACATATACGTGTATGTGTATATATATATCTATGAGAGAAAAGACATATATGGAAGAATACACATTAACATGGTTAGATTCATTATCTCTAGATGGTAAAATGAAAAGATTTTTTTCATTACTTTTTACTCTTATTTATTTTATAATTTTTCTATATTCAACATGTATTACCTTTCTAATAAGAAAAATATGTATTTCTAAAGGGTCTTCATATTTGAACAGACTGAGAGGCACTGCTCTAAGATGTGCCATAAACAGATGACTTCTCAAGTTAATAAATAGCAAATATAGTTCTGGAACACATGGGAGATTATAATTATGCTAATCTGAAACTATTTCTTACACTGATTACGTAAATCCTTTAGAAAGGATATGGCAAAGAAAATACCTAAGGTGAAGTTTCATAGTAGAGGGTCTAGGAGGCAATAAAAACAGCAAGGCATTCCGAAGAGATTTCAGATTATAGACTGTGGTAGTGTGCTTCCTTGTCAGCACAAATTTTATGAAATTGTATGAAGGGCTATGCATTCCCTGCCCCTGTGCTCTGTTCTGTATCCCAGAGAACTACACTTCCCAGGCGCCTTTGCTCTCTGCCTTCCTGGATAGGTTTAGCCAATGGAAGGCACCGGCCAAAGACCTGAGGACAGGAAGAGGAGGCAAACCTTCCTCCTCCTCTCTCTCTGTCTTTTTGGGCTGAGCTTCTAACTGCATCTCATCTATGACTCAGTTTCCCCCAGATAAACCCTGCCTCCACCAAGTTCGCCTGCCAAACTCTATCTTCCAGCAACTCGGCTTCCGTGACTACCTCCCTTTCATCTTCTAGTTGAGGGGTGAAAACAGCTTCCTGCGCTTACTCATCTATGGGATGCCTCACTGTTTCCTTGGTGATTTCTCATCTCTTCCATAAACTTTGTAACCAATTCCCTATATTAAAGTTCCTCTGTCTGAAATATGTTAGAGTAGTTTATACTTTCTAACTTGGCCCTGTCTAATGTAAGTGCCCACCCCCCAAAAAACACAAATCTTTTGAAGATATTAACTTGTAAAACAATAAAAAATTTTAAGTGAATACCAGTGAGTTTAAATTCGTCCCCCTTACATTAACCGATGAAAAACTTACCCTCTAGTTGGAGAAGATAGAAAACAAATTTAAAAAAACCACAAATATGAAAATTTCAATTTATGATACAATACTCTGGAGCAAATAAAACAATTTTCTGTGATAAATACTCACTCATGGTCTGCTGAGAGAATTATTTTATATTGAATGGTAAAGAATTCTCTCTGAGAAAGATGATGTTTGTATTTAGATTTAAAAAACAAGAAGGAGCCAGCCTTGTGAATATCTGGAGTAAGAATGTTCTAGGCAGAGGGAACAAGCTAATGAAAAAGCTCGAAGGTGGAATGTGTTTGAAGGCCAGTGTAGCTGGAACAAAACAAGCGAGAGAGGGAGAAATCAGATAGGCAGGAGCCAGGACATGTAGGGCCTTGTAGAGAGAGTAAGGAGATTAGATTTTATTCTAAGAACAATGGGAAGTCATTGATGAGGGTCTTAGTCAGCTTAGGCTGCTATGACAAATTACTGTGGACTGGGTGGCTTAAACAACAGAAATTAATTTCTCACAGTTCTGGAGGCTGAGGAGATCAAGATCAAAGTACTGGCCAATTTGGTTTCTGGTGTGGACCCTGTTCCTGGTTTGTAGATGGCTGTGTTCTCGTTGTGTGCTCACCTGGCAGAGAGAGAGAGATCATCTCTCTTGTATCTCTTCTTATAAGGACGCTAATCCCCTTGATGGGTGCTCCAGCCTCGTGACCTAATTACCTCCCAAAGGCCCCAACTCCAAAAACCAAAACACTGGAGATTAGGGCTTTAACATGTGAATTTGAGGGGAACAAATTCAGTCCATAACAGAGAGTATTAAATTGTGGAATAATATAACCTCATTGGAAAATTTAAAAGATCTGTCTGGCTGCTATATGGAAAAGGAATGGTGGCTAGGAGGAAGCCAGAAGTGGAGGTGAAACAGGCAGATGATTTCCAGGAGTCCAGAACAGAGAGGATGTGGCTTGATTTAAAGTGGAGTATAAGGATAAACTGGAAAACAATTTCTACAAATAATGAACAAGACTTAGATATTCACTGGCGTATTAAGATTATTTTCCAAATAAAGCACGCTTTAATATTATTAGTATATTAATGAAGGGCATCATGTAAAGCTAAAGCAGTGAAAGAAGCCTTGTACACTTGGGGAGATCAAAGTGAAATTCAACTATGAATTTCCTATTATTTTTTAGGATAAAAGCCAAACAGATTTATCCCAGCCTGCAAAGTTGGCAAAGTATCCTGTATAAGAAGGCAAATGTTTTATAGGAGCTGGGAAGCCTAATAGTAAATGAATAATACTCATAATAGTAAATGATAATATTCAGAATAATAAAATGTTCATACAGGCATCAGTATCCTTTGATTCAAAGGCTCAGGAAATTACAGAGCAGTACTAATACGTAACATTATTTTCTAGATCAGTTTCTTTCTGTCTTTCAATTACCTATCTACATATAAAATTAAAAGCACTCCTTAAAATGGTCCTGGTCACTTTTTGATCCACATTGCCAAAAGACCTCCAATTGAACCAGATTAATTTGCCATGAGATTGTTTAGTTCTGGTGGTTCAGATTCCTAGCTTCCGGCTTGTTCCATTATTTAATGCTAACTCAGGTGAGTTATTTAATGTCCATGAAAAGAGGTCAAGTTTAGCACAGAACAAGATAATTTCTCTAGAAATGACTTTGTCTTTAGTGCTGTTGAGTGGATTCCAACTCCTGGTGACTCTGTGTCCAGCAGAGCAGAACCCTGCCCGGTCTTTTTGAGCCGTCTTCTCACTTCTGGCACTGTATCAGGCAATGCTCCACTGCTATTCACAGGGTTTTCATGGCCAATTTTTCGGAAGTGGGTGGCCAGATCTTTCTTCCTAGTCTGTCTTAGTCTGGAAGCTCCACTGAAACCTGTCCACGGGTGTCATGGGTCACCTGTCCATGGGTGACCCTGCTGGTATTTGAAATCCTGGTGGCAGAGCTGTCAGCATCCCAGCAACATGCAGCCACCATGGTATGACACTGACAGACGGGCGGTGGGGTTCCCTGAGCTGGAAAGGAACCCAGGCCTCATCCGTGAGAGCACCGAATCTTAACCACTAGACTGCCAGGGCTGGCTAAAAGTGACTAATAACCTTTTATTACTCCAGACTCATTTTTTAAAGACATAAAAAGGAAGTGAATAGGTAGCTTTTATAATTAATGCTTTTCATAACATTTTTTTTTGTAATTTATAGAAATTTCTAATTGCTTGGAAAAAAATGAGCAACTTTCTAAAAATTCGTTCAGTGATAACAGACAAATTAACATACCTAAATGGGCTTCTGGAAGCCTATTGTTCGTATTTCAGAACAATTAGACTACCATGTTGAAATAGTCTCTATCTTAGAGTTAGGAGTTTTTAGACCTAAATAATTTCTGCTAAAACCTATGGAATTTAGCATGTCAATGTTCCATTCAGGAAGTCATTGTTGTTGTGACACAGTGCTTGCGAGTTTTGTTTTGTTTTGTTTTAGTGTGATATTTAGGAAGATAGTAAGAGCAGAGAAAAAAACCTGAGAATTGGATCAGATGGTTACTATACGCCATACACTGTTTGGAGTCTTTTTCATATATTGATAGACGTAATCCTCACACCATCCAATGAAGCAAGCACTGACATTATCTACGTTCTAAGAGATGGGGAAAATGAGATAGAGAAAGCTTCAGGAACTTGTTCAAGGTCATAGAGCTAGGAGGTGGCAGGCCTGGGTGTCCCCACATCTGCTGGCTCTAGTCTATAGTTTTAACTTACTGTGCTTTCCTGCCCTCAGAAATAGATGGTTATTTTAATGGCACATTTTATTTTTATATTTTTATTATTCAAAATTCTCTTTTACTTTTTACCAATAGTTATTTGAAATCTAGTTCTTTAAAAGGTATTCTGCAAGTGTTCTGTGTGTTGTTGTTTTCATATAAATTTGGTTTGAATTGCAAATTTTACAAACAACAAAAATGGCATAATGGTTATTTAAGTAGGTCAGGTGTGTTCTCAAATGTATAGCGTGTGTGAGATGGTGCGGAGGATGCTATAGGTATTTGTTTTACCTATAATTGCCTATGTAACATAGCATTTAATCCTTTTGTTCTGTGACTTCTAATGATTAACTTTTGAACGAGCAGTCCAAGGATAAGAGCCACCGAGACTGCATCCTCTTTACCACACTGATTGAGGCCTCCTCTGATCAGTTTTGGAATCCTCTCGAGTTTGTCATTAGACTTACAGCTGTCCTGTTAGAAGAGTCGGACCTTTCGGGGCTGATGCAAGAGGAAATTCTATTTATTCCCTGTGATGCCCCCAGACCCTGAGCTTCAGAATAAGAAGTTTGGCAGAGAATGAAAAGAGCCTCACCCCAATTCAGCCTTGTTTCTTAAATGCGGAATGACCCTGGACCCTCTGGGGCATGGGGCAGATGGCACACTGCATCAGCAATGGTTGGGTACTTTGAGAGGCCCTAGAAAGGACATTTGATACCCCAATCAGCAACTACCCTCACCACCCACGTATAATCATATGATAATGATGAATAATTGAATCATGAAACAATGAAGTATGGTACATAAACAGTTCCCAGTAATAGAGATTTTAGAGTTATATTCACTTAATCAAGGCACTAGGTTACCATGTAGTGCAGTGAAGTAATAACTTACAAAATGATAACCTCTGTTAATGAGTTGCCCAAAAGGCTCTAGTTATTACCATGAGATGTTACCACCTAGACGAGGACCTGGCCCATTCCGTAGTTATCACTTGTGCAGCAGAAATTCTTACAGGCATATGTTGAGTAAAAAGAGAAATGAGGAAAAAATGTTAACTTTCAAAAGGGAAAAAATATTCAAAAAACTTTAATATATACTTATATTTACAAAAATATATTTTCAAAAATTAAATACCTACTAGTTTGTATAGCATATCCTCAAGGCAATGTACACATCAGATTATTTTATTTTATTATTTCTCTTTATTATTAATGCTTAATTTAAAAATGACCTTTTATGATATTATGTTATTATGAAAGTTGTTGAGAAGCACTATCGGTATTCCATCTATAATTTTATTCTTTTTTAGACGCACATTTTAACTGATGTTCCAGACTAACCGGGTCTCTTTCATTCCTGTTTATGCTGAAATTTATGGTCATTGTTTTCACAAGTGGCGGCACACTGCTTATCAATGGCAGCTTTGGAAAATAACACTAGATTGTGTTTAACAGAGGAAATAATAATATATGCAAATATCCGCTGCATAAAATGTAGAGAGATATGTGTAGGAGCTGTGTGGAGCATACTTAGCAAATTTCTGCCCTCTACTCAGACTTGCAAAGACCTAGTTTATACTCTAAAATTGAGCATTTCATACTATTTTAAGCAGAAATATGGAAAGCAATGTACTGTGGCTGCAGTTCTCAGCGTGTCACACACACCGGTGCATCGTAATCATTTATAAGATGTGACACAAGTAATATGCGGTAACAATAGTTAAAATGAACCAACATATGTTTTAGTGATTTCCTCCCTTTTTGAGAATAGATTCAAGATCCTCCTTGTATAACCTCAGTGTCCCGCATTTTAATCTGATAGGTCCTATTGAATAGAAGAGAAAGGTAAGGTTGTGTCTGGCGTGCCAGGCATTTTGCTAGGTGGTTTGCATGACGCCCAGGACCCCGCACCTGGCTACACCTTGGAGAGTGTGTCAAACACACAAACATCATCTATCACATAGTAAGAATCACAGGCTTATGTTAAAAGCTTAGCAAAGGTGGGTGTGTAGAACTTGACAGCAAAGAGATATTTTGATAGTGCAGGTAGAAAAAACTATGCTGAGATGTGCTGTGTACCTTCTATTACAGACAATAGAAAAATAAACCATAGAATGGCAAAAATACTGCTATAAGTTGCTATTAAATTACAAATTAGGCAGGATGGGAAGGCACTACATGAAATGCAAAGGTTGACACTCAAGAGAAGGAGCTAATCTAATTTGACCTTCAAAATAGACTTTCCCTTTAGAATGTAATAAAAGCAGAAAAAGAAAAGTGACCTCAAGGTGAAGAGTTATACTGCTAAAAATTAAAATCAAGTCACAGTTTTAAGACAGCGATGTGGGAATTTGCAGAAGAAGGTATTTCTTACACCTGCCTACAAGCGGACTAGGTGCAAAGTCACCTTGAGAAAGAACCAAAAATCAGCTTTGCTTAGAAGTCTGGGTCCCAAGCTGAATATGACTTCTCAAAAAAAAAAAAAAAAATTAACAAATTAGTTAAAGCAACTTTTCTTTTACATTTTTATTTCATGAAATCTGTCAATCTCTATTTTCCTTATAGATTCCGGCTTTAATGCTTAGTTAGGAAGCTCTTTCCTGTCATAAAATAGCAAAATATTCTTATTTGTTTTAGTTATTATATAATTTTAATTTCTAGATTTAACTAATTAATCCACTTATAATTCATTTTGCGTATGTATGGTGAGAGGTTAGAAACTCATGATTTTTTTCCAAATAGCAAGCCAGTTCTTCCAACACCATTGATTCAGCACTGTGCCCTCCCTCTGTTGATTTGACATGCTTTCATTATCACACTTAAATTCATATATGCATTTGAAAATTTTCTACAGATGTGTGAAAGAATGATTGCTTCTCAGTTGGATACAAAGATAGATAGATGCATAGAGAGATGATAGAAACACAGAGATAAATCATAATCCTCTACACCCTTTCTCACTGTTATCTACTTAATTTGTCAATTTAGGAAAAAGGTGTTTTCAATTCCTCCAAGATAATTATAAAAGTCTCAGTTTGTCTTTTTGTTTTTATCAGTCTCAGTCTTATCCTGAATATTAAGGATGTAATATCCTTAATATTTCAAAGCCACATTGTTGAATGCATAAAGATTCAAGACGGTTATATCTGCTTGGGGAATTATAACTTTTATCAATATTAAATATCCCTCTTTATACTTTCCATGAAATCTTATCTGTTAATAATATGGACGTTCTTACCATTTTTGAAATACTTTCATTAGTGGCTTACCCGTCCCTTTAAGTATTCCATGATACTTGGCGTTAATTATGTCAGTTATAAACAGCATATGGCTGGATTATTTTTTTCCCGTAATTTGAGCTTCTGTTTTTTATAAATCGATTCAGTCCTTTCACATGTGTTGTGGTTACTGTTTCATCATAATATAGATCTATTTTTGTGTGTTTTCTATTTGTCTTTTTTCCTGTTTCATTATTTTCCCCTTCACCTCTGTCTTTAGTTGGGTGGATTGGATATCCTTTGTTCTTGCTTATTCCCAGTATTTGTAAATTTTAATTGCTGTGTCTCTTTTTCTAAAGTGAACACTTAATTTTTAGTAAATCCATTTAAAATGTTTATCCATTATCGTTGAAAATTAATTGCATACTTCTAACCTACCCACCCCTCAAATAAAAGAAGACCTTTGGCAAGATTTTGTTGACTTGGCTCATCCTCTCAAACAACTCTATGACTTATTAAAATTGGCTGGAACATTAGAATTGGGATGTAAATAATTCATCTACTTTCTTGGCAGTCATATTCTAAAAATGCCTTAAATTTCACTGGTATATAATTATCAAGTAAAGTTACATGTTTTACAGTTATCTCTGCTCACTACTCTTTATTAATTCGTATACAGTCTGCTACATTAGATCCTTTTTGTTTGATATGTGTATTAGTTTGCTCAGGCTGCCATAACAAAATACCACAGACTGGGTAGCTTAAACAACAGAAATTTATTTTTTCACAGTTCTGGAGGCTAGTGGTCCAAAATCAAGGTGCTGGCAGGTTTGATTTCTTCTGAGTCCTCTCTCCTTGGCTTGCAGATGGCTTCCTTCTCACCATGTCCTTATGTGGTCTTTCCTCTGGGTGTGCACATCCCTGGTACGTCTTCCTATGTTCAAATTTCTTCTTCTTATGAGGACACCAGCAAGATTGGATTAGGCTCCACCATAATGGCCTCATTTTAATTTAGTCACCTCTTTAAAGGCCCCATCCCCAAATACAGTCACATTTTAAAGTACTGGGGTTTAGTGTTCAACATATGAACTTTGAGGGCGGGGGGCACATTCAGCCTGTAACAACATGTTTTGCTCATATACATTTCAGAAATACTGCATAAGTGCTAAGCTATTTGAGTTCCCGACTGACTGAAAAAAACATCACGTACCCATATTGGAAAGATAGTTTGATTAGGTATGAACTTCTAGGTTCAAAATTATTTTTCCTTAAATAATTGAAGGCATTGTTACATTGTATACTAACATCCATTATCTATCGGCCTTGTAGAAGACAGATGTCTGTCTGATCATTTCTCCTTCAGGATTTTTATGTATCCTACTTTTCTCTCTGGAAGTGGGTAAAATATTCTTTTTATCTCTGGAGTTCATAAGTTCCTCTGGAAATTTGATGGGCCCTCATCATTTTTCACCTCAGGGAGATTTTCATCTGTAATTTGTTGATTATCTCCTTCTTAAAAACCTATTAGACACACGTGGAAACTTCTGGATCTATCTTTGTTTGATATTCCCTAACATATATTCTCCAAGTTCTCATCTCTTGGTCCTCTGGCACTATGGATGGCTTGGTTCAGTTTTCCAGTTCACTTCTTGGAATTCAATCTGTATCGATTCTGCTGTTCAGTTCACCTCTGGGAGTTTTATTTCAGCAATCATGTTAATTTCCAAGAACGCTGAAAGCTTCTTTTTCATGTTAGCCTGTTCTATTTGATAGATATGATGGACTCCCCAGTCTCTCAAGGAAATTAATTGTATTTCTTTCCTTATTTTCCCATTTATTCTATTAGCAATATTCCTCGTGGTGTTCAGTATTCTGTTCAATTTAATGTCCCTCTTTTAGAATTTTCCTCAACCATCTGGTTATTTATGATTGGTTTTCCATTCATATATGTGGATGATTCTAGATTGAATATATTACTATATGTATTTTATTATTGCCTCTGACCAAGTAAGAAATTTCATTCTCTTAACAGTGAATATGATTCTGATTCAAGGTCTCTGGTTTTATGGTGCTCTAGTGTAAAGGAGGAGCTGTGTTTTCTAGTGGACTTACATTTCTGATGTACTGGTAACTTGTTTATCTGTTGAATGAGGTACAAGGGACACCACCTCACCTCTTTGGTCTCAGTGCCCACTCGTGGACACTCCTGTGTCAGATCTCCCACTTCAGCAATGTTGAGTCACTCTGTGTGTTCTAGGTATGAATGCTAGAATCAGCAACTCCTAACACAAGTGACCAACTTGGCCTTTTTGGAGTTCTTTGATGAATTACTAGCTGGTGACACTTGCATAGCTCCTTCTTTATGTTCTCCATCTCTGAGTTATTCCGGAATTCTGCTGGTAACAGTCACTTTTTTTGTTGGTCTTTTCTTTCACCTGTAGGTGTTTGCAAGTTCCTCAGTTTTGTTTATGTATTTTCATCAAACAGTTTCCATTTGGTTATAAACTTCCAGAAAGTCCTTACTATTTTTGTATGTTGGTAGCTGTGTTCCTGATTTTCCAGTTTTTCTGTGAATTTATTTCACTATTTTTCCTGTCTTTGCAGTGGAACATTCTTGAGGAGAATAGGTAAACTTGTGTTTTCAGTAAGCCATCAGAACCAGAAACCATTTTTCCAAATATTTACAATTTTGTAGAACACACTGAAAGAAAAGTGAATCAACTCCTGGTTCCATTTTTTTTTTTTTTCTATTTGCTGTTTTACAGTCTAAATTTTCCTCCCCTTTGAGGGAAGGTGTTTTGTAGGCATTTTGAAGGTGATCTGTACAGTGTATTTGTTAGGAGAAAAAACTAACAGGCTAACGTTGAATGCTACACAGGTCGTTCTGCTATTAAGACGCATTTGGTTGGCACTTTATTTCTGATTACTCCTAAATAGTCTGTCTCTTTCAAAGAATATGAGGTTATTAATGTTGTAGAGCTAAATACAAATCAGCCATTTCAATTTCCACAAGCATAGTAGCTGTGATTTGTCTCAGTTCTGCCTCCTCTGGTACAGCCAATGATGTTTATCAAAGACCAGCGATGTTCAGGAAAGGCAATTTGACTGGAAAACAGGAAACCTGTGTCCCAGACCCAGCTTTTGAAGTGACTAGTGACTGAAAACTTACAAAGTTTTTAAAGCTCTCTGGTTCTCATTCTCCTTATTTACAAGGACCCTAGCAATGCTTTTGTAAAAAGTCTGAAAAACCTGAAATTACACCCTGAAATAGTTATTTAAATCCCACAAGAGTGTCAGATCCTCATGATGAAATGGCCCAGTTATTCTCATTAACATGACTCATCCTATTGACTCTTTTCTCAGAATAGGTGGTATATGATATGAGATAGCAAACACGTGAATAATAGTAAAAACGAAATGTACTTAGTGTTGATACTTACTTTATATGCATTATTTTCATTTAAATCTAATAACAGACCTATCAGGTAGGAATTAATATGTCTTCCATTTAACAGAGGAGAAATTGAAGTTTAAAGAGATTAAATAATTTAGCCTAAGACATCCAATTAGTATTGGCAGAGCTAGAATTGGAATCCGGGTCCTAGCCCCTGACCAGAACACTGTTCAGCCTTCTTATTGCTAGGTAGATTAGACACCGAAGGAAAGTTTTATGTTAAATATGATAGAGATGACCAGAAATGCCTCCCTCTACCACAAATAATCAGCAGCCAACTTTGGACAGTCCTGTACAGTTTGTACTTTGGTTTCATGTGAACTCACTTAATTTGCTTCAAGGTGTTAGAGAGTAAACTGGGATTCTCTATCTCCCATCTCAAATGAGAAAGGCAAAGAAAAAAGAGTGGTCTGTTTCTTCCAACTTTAAAGACAGAGCTGAAATGTAGATTGTTCTTCAATTCAAATTCTGATTGTTCTAAGCATTTTTTTTAAATGATCACCCATTCCTCTACTTACCTATGGTGAAGTCCTTATTTTAAGACACTATAGCTTATTTATAACTCAGTGACATCCAAACCCAGTGTGGTGATGTTTTCGTGTGAATTATTTGTAAACATAGTTATTAGAGCATTACTAGCTCTCATGGCAGGACGTGAATAATGCCGATAAGTAGATAAATTTCTTTTTCAAATAAAGTGATGAATTTGCCAAAGTAGAAATTGCACAGTGAGAAGAATGAGATTCTACTTCTGCTGCCATCATTGGCTGGCGAGTCACTTGATCTCTAGTCCCCTATGAAGTTTTCGACTAGAAAATTTCCAAGATCCTTTCAAACCCTAAAGTTCTTAATCTTTAACTTTTCCCTTCTTTAGCAAATGACCACCAATTATGTACCTGGCAGTGTTCTAGGCATACACGAGCAAACAAAACAGACCAACTCCCTGCCCTGACAGAATTTATGTTACAATGGGGAAACAGACAGTAAACAGGAAAGGTGATGAATAAGTTGGGTAGTCTTTTTAAAGACTATGTAACAAAGTAGAGCAGAGTAAGAGGATTGGTAGAGCTGGGTGTGGTCAGGGGGGCCCGCCTTAAGAATGTAAGCTTTGAGCCAACACTTGAAGGAGGTGAGGTTGTGAGCCATGGGGGCCAGGATGGGAGAACATTTCAGGCAGAGAGAAATAACAGTGCAAAGCCCCAAATTGGAAGTGTCCTTGGTGTTCAGGAGGATTGGAAAGGGAGCTTTGTGGCTAGAGCACAGGGAGTGAAAGAATAGTAAGACATGAAAGAAAGGGGGAGAGGAGAGAAATCCTAAAGAAACTTTTTTTTTTTTTGTGAGGAAGATCATCTCTGAGCTAACATCCGTGCTAATCCTCCTCTTGCTGAGGAAGACCAGCTCTGAGCTAACATCTATTGCCAATCCTCCTCCTTTTTTTTCCCCAAAGCCCCAATAGACAGCTGTATGTCATAGTTGCACATCCTTCTAGCTGCTGTATGTGGGACGACGCCTCAGCATGGCCGGAGAAGCGGTGCGTCTGTGCGCACCCGGGATCCGAACCAGGGGCCACCAGTAGCGGACCGCGTGCACTTAACCGCTAAGCCACAGAGCCAGCCCCTAAAGAAACTTTTATACCACTGTGAGGACATTCTTATTACCTGTGTTGTGGAGCCCAGTTCTAGAAAATTGCTGTTACCAACTTATTTCTTAAGTGCCTAATTTGATAGCTTAATGTACCTGGTACTTTTGTAATTCTTGCCTCTGATCAGGCAAAGATGCTTGGTCTCTTAAGAGGGGTTGGAGAAAATACTTGACATTGGCAAAGTTAGAGATGGTGTGCCACTTGACTTTCTTAAATGTCCAAATTAGAAATAGAAAGTGTGATGGAAAGAAGGAAGGGAGGAAAGGGAGAGTGAGTAAATGTGTTTAGAGGACCAAGCGACCATTTGAATAATTATTTTAACTGGCATTGAAATGAATGAGACATTTGTGTTTTTCCAGTGAAATAGGCAATTGAGTGAATCAAAGCAATAAGGAAAATTTCATACTAGCTCCATCATTCTGTTCTGTGTGTATTTGGGGTTTTCTTAAATAAATTTTTTTAGATTAATAGACTTTATTTTTTTGAACAGTTAGGTTTACAGAAAAATTGAGCAGAATGCACAGACAGTTCCCATATATCCCCTCATATCCACCCTCCAAGTTTCCAGTGTTATTAACATCTTGCATTACTGTGGTACGTTTGTTACAACTGGTGAGCCGATATTAACGTTTTATTATTAACTAGTCCATAGTTTACATTAGGGTTCACTCTTTGTGTTGTACATTCCATGAGTTTTCTCAAATGTATAATGACACGGATCCACAGTATCATATAGAATAGCTTCACTGCCCTAAAAATCCCTTTTGCTCAACCTATTCGTCTGTCCCTACCTTCCCCATACGCCTGGCAACCACTGATCATTTTTAGTGTGTTTACAATTTAGCCTTTTCCAGAAACTCATATGGTTAGAATCACACTTGAAATGTTATTTATTGCACCATGTTGGAGTGGTGGGTAGGGTGGGGGCCTGCCGTGGACACAGGGGTCCTGCCGAGCGGTGCCCCACCCAGGTGCCTGACCAGATTCCCCCCAGAGCTGCTGCTGTACCCCCACCACCCAGGCCCCTATCTCCCCAGGCAGCATCCAAGAGCCTTGACCCCCTGCCCCCTCACCCCCAGACCAACCATTCCCTAGCCCCAGAAATACCACCTGCAAAAGATTCCAGCCTGCTGATGAGGGACAGGAAAGAGTGAGGAGAGGGGGCTCTACGAAAACTGAGGCCCCTGTCAGCCTTGCTCATCCCCCAGGTCCCCAGGGCAGAGCCTGATCTGAGGCCCAGACACAGCAGCTAAGGCTGAGCTTGGGCCTCTTACCCATTTGGCTTTGTTTCCTTGTCCCACTGTCTGTCTGGACCACTCCTGTGTCTGTTGTTCTATTCCTGGGAAGCTCATCACTATAAGCCATAGCATCTTCTCAGTCTGTCCCATACTATTATCCATTAATTGATCTCTTATTTAAAATAAAAAGGGAAACCTAAGGTCACCTTGATTTTCTCGTATGTTATCTTCTAGAAGTTTCATAGCTTGGCCATAGATTGGCTTCTTTCACTTAGAAATATACACGTAAATTCCCTCATGTCTTTTTGTGGCTTGATAGCTCATTTTTCTTTTATCATTGAATAAGATTCCATTGTATGGATGTACCAAAATTTGTTTATCCATTCACCCATTGAAGAAACTCTTGATTGCTTCCAAGTTTTGAGAGTTATAAATAAAGCTACTATAAACATTCATGTGCAGGTTTTTGTGTAGATATAAGTTTTTGACTCCTTTGGGTAAATACCAAGGAGCACAACTGCCGGATCATATGGTAAGAGTATGTTTAGTTTTGTGAGAAACTGCAAAATTGTCTTCTAAAGTGACTGTACTGGTTTGCATTCCCACCAGCAACAATAAAGAGGTCCTATGGCTCCTCGGGGGCATTTGGTGTTCTCAGTGATTTGGATTTCAGCCATTCCAATAGGTGTTTTAATTTGCATTTTCCTGATAACATATGATGTTGAGCATCATATCCTATGCTTATTTGCCGTCTATATTGCTTCTTTGGTGAGGTATCTTTTCAGATCTTTTGCCCCTTGTTTAATTGGGTCATTTGCTTTCTTATTTTTGAGTTTTAAAAGTTCTTTGTGTATTTTGGATACCAGTCCTTTATCAGATAAGTGTTTTAAAATATTTTCTCCAGTCTCTGAGTTCTTTTTATTGTCATAACAGTGTCTTTTACAGAGCAGAAGTTTTTAATTTCAGTGAAGCCCAACTTACCAATTTTTGCATTCATGGTTCATGATTGTGGTTTTGTATCTAAAAAGTCATCGCAAAATCCAAGGTCACCTAGATTCTCTCCTATGTTGTCTTCTACAAGTTTTATAGTTTTGAAGTTAACATTTAGGTCTATGAACCATTTTGAGTTAATTTTGGTGAAACATGGAAGCTCTGTGTCTAGAATCTTATTTTGCATGTAGATCTAGTTGTTCCAGTACCATTTGTTGAAAAGACTAACCTTCCTTATTGAATTGCCTATGTTCCTTTATCAAAGATCAGTTGACTATGTCTATGTGGGTCTATTTTCAGGCTCTCTATTCAGTTCTGTTGATCAATTTGTCTATTCTTTCACCAATAGTGCACTGTCTCGATTACTGTAGTTTTATATAATGTCTTGCAGTCACATAGTGTCAGTCCTCTGACTTTGTTCTTCTCCTTCAATACTGTGTTGTCTATTTTGGGTCTTTTGTCTTTCCTTATACACTTTAGAATGATTTTGTCAATAGACTTGAAATAACTTGCTGACATTTTGACTGGGATTGAACTGAACCCATACATCAAGTTGGGAAGAACTTACACCTTGAGCACATTGAGTCTTCCTCATGGAATATCATCCATTTATTTAGATCTTTGATTTTTTTTTTATTGATGTTTTAATGGTTTCTAACATTGTGAAATTTTGGGTTGTACATTTTTGTTTGTCCATCACCGTATATATGACTCCCTTCACCCCTTGTGCCCACCCCCCACCCCCACTGCCCCTGGTAACCACGGTCCAGTTTTCTCTGTCCATGTGTTGGTTTATATTCCACATATGAGTGAGATCATACAGTGTTTGTCTTTCTCTTTCTGGCTTATTTCACTTAACATAATACGCTCCAGGCCTATCCATGTTGTTGCAAATGGGACGATTTTGTCTTTTTTTATGGCTGAGTAGTATTCCATTTAGATCTTTGATTTTTTCCATCAGTTTTGTAGTGTTGTTCATATAGATCATGTAATTTTTGGTTATATTTATACAAATATATTTCTCTTTTGGTGCTAATATAAATAGTTTTGTGTTTTTAATTTGAAGTCCAATTGTTCATTGCTGGAATATAAGAAAATAGTTGACTTTTGTGTATTAACTTTTGTTCCTGCAACCTCTCTATAAATCACTTATTAGCTTCAGGAGGTTTTTTCTTTGTTGATTCTTTGGGATTTTCTACATAAACAGTCATTTCACTTGCAAACAAAGGCATTTTTATTTCTTCACAATCAGTATACTTCTAATTTCCTTTTCTTCTCTTATTGCACTAGCTAGGACTGCCAGCACAATATTGAATAGAAGCAGTGAGAACAGACACCTTGCTTGTTCCTGATCTTGTCAAGAAAGTATCTAGTTTCTCATCATTAAGAATGAGGATAGCTATAGCATCTTTGTAGATGTTCTTTATCAAGTTGAGGAAGTTGGCTTCCTATTCCTAATTTCCTAAGAGTTGTTATCATGAAAGGATGTTGGATTTCATTATAAACTTTTTCTGCATCTATCAATATAATTACATGAAGTTTCCGCTATATCTTGCTGATATGATTGATTACATTAATCTGATTTTCCAATGTTTGCCAACCTAGCATACCTGGAATAAATCCCACCTGGTGGTTGTGTATAACTTTTATACATTGTTGGATTCAATTTGCTAATATTTCGTTGAGAGTTTTTTTATCTATGTTCACGTGAGATATTGGTCTGTAGTTATCCTTTCTAGTAATATCTTTGTGTGGTTTTGATATTGGGGTAAAGCTGGCCTTATAGAATGAATTTGGAAATGTTCCCTTTGCTTCAGTTTTCTGAATATAATTGTAGGGAATTGGTATAATTTCTTCCTTAAATGTGTGGTAGAATTCACCAGTGAACCCATTTGGGCCTGGGGGTTCTTTCTGTTTTGGAAAGTCATTAATAATTGATACAATTTCATTAATACATATAGGCTATTCAGTTTATCTATTTCTACTTGAGTGCATCTTGGTAGATGTACCTTTCCAGGAATTGGTCAGTTTCATCTAGATTATCAAATTTATGGGCATAGAGTTGTTAATAATAATCCTTTATTATCCTTTCAGGGGATCACTAGTGATGGCTCCTCTTTCATTTCTGATGTTTATATTTGTGGTGTCTCTCTTTTTTTCCTTAGATAACCTGGCTAGAGGTTTAGCAATTTTGTTGCTCTTTTCAAAGAACCAGCTTAGATTATTGATTTTTAGATCTTTCTTACGTTCTATTATATGCATTTAATTCTATAAAATTTCCCTCTAAGCACTACTTCGTTGCATCCCACAGATTTTGATTAGTTGTATTTTTTTTTTCATCTAGTTTGAAATACTTCTAATTTTTCTCATGACTTCTTATTTAACCCATGTTTTATTAAGAAGTATGTTGTATAATCTCAAAGTATTTTGGAGTTTTCCAGCAATATTCTTGTTATTGACTTCCAGTTAAATTCTATTATGATCTGAGAGCATACGTTATATGATTTCTATTCTTTTAAATTTACTACAGTGTATTTTATGGCCCAGAATGTCGTCAGTCTTGGTGAGTGTTCGCTGTGACTTTGAGAAGAATGTGTATTCTGCTGTGGCTGGATGAAGTATTCTATAAATGTAAATTAGATCTAGTTGATTTATGCTGTTCAGTTCAACTATGACCTTACTGATTTGCTGCCTCCTGATCTGTCAATTACTGATAGAAGGATTTTCATGTCTCCAACTATAAGAGTGGATTCATCTATTTCTCCTTGTAGTTCTACCAGTTTTTGCCTCAAGTATTTGATGTTCTGTTGTTAGGTGCTTACACATTCAGGATTGCTGTGCCTTCTTAGAGAATTGACCACTTTCTCATTGTGTAATACCCTCTTTATCCCTGATAATTTTCCTTTCTCTGAAATCTGCTTTGTCCAAAATTAGTATATCTTTCCCAGCTTTCTTTCCGTTAATGTTAGCATTGTATATATTTCTCCAGCTCTTTACTTTTAATCCATCTGTGCCTTTACATTTAACTTGGGTTTGTTTTAGACAACATATAGTTGGGTGTTGTTTTTTAATCCACACTGACAATCTTTTTTAATTGATGTGTTTAGAAAACTGACATTTAAAGTAATTATTGGTACTTGAATTAATATCTAGCATATTTGTTACTGTTTTACATTTGTTGATCTTTCTTTTTTGTTGTTGTTCTCCACTCTTTTTTGCCTTTTTTGTTTTAATTGAGCATTTTATGATTCCTTTTTTCTCCTCTCCTATCAATTATACTTCTTTTTAAACCTTTTTTTATTGTTGGCCCATGAGTTTGCAATACGCATTTACAAATAATCCAAGTTCACTTTCAAGTAACACTGTACCACTTCTGTGTAGGGCAAGTAACTTATACCAGGAGTATTCTCAATTCCTCCTTCCCATCTCTTATAGTATGCTGCCATTTACTTCACTAACCCCCAAAATAAAATCACTGAATACATTTTTGCTATTATTATTTTGAACAAATTGTTACGTGTTAGATCACTTAATAATAAGAAAAAATAAAATATTTTATTTACCTTTATTTATTCCTTCTCTAACACTCTTCTTTTCTTTATGTATATTTGATTTTCCGACCGATATTTTTCTTCTCTCTGAAGAACTTCCTTAACTTTACTTGCAAGGCAGGTCTACTAGCAAAAAATTTCTTCAACTTTTGTTTGTCTGAGAAAATCTTTATTTCTCCTTTATTTTGATGGATAATTTTGCTGGATACAGAATTCCAGGTTGGAGTTTTTTTCTTTCGGCACTTTAAATATTTCATTTCTCTGTCTTCTTATTTGCATGGTTTCTGAAGAAAAGTCTGATATATTCTTATTCCTGCTCCTCTGTAAGTAAGGTGTTTTTTTCCTCTGGCTTTTTTCAAGATTTTCTCTTTGTCTTTGATTCTCTACAATTTGAATATCATAAGCCTGAGTGTAGATAAATACCAGTGCTGGTATTTTTCCTGCTTGGTGTTCTCAGATCTTCCAGGATCTGTGGTTTGGTATCTATCATTAATTTTAGAAAATTATCATTCATTGTCACTTTAAATATTTCTTTTTTTCTTTCTCTCTTTCTTTTCCTTCTAGTATTCACATTATGCATGTAACCATCCCACAGTTCTTGGATAGTTTATTCCATTTTTTCAGTCTTTTTTATCTTTCCATTTCAGATTTGAAAGTTTCTATTGATATATCTTCAAGCTCACTGATTCTTTTGTCTGCTGTAGCCAGTCTATTGATGAGTCCATCAAAGGCATGCTTCATTTCTGTTAAAGCGTTTTGTTTTATTTTTAGCATTTCCTTTTGATTCTTTCTTAGAGTTTCCATCTCTCTGTTTACGTTATCCATCTGTTCCTGCGTATTGTCCACTTTTCCCATTACAACCCTTACCTTATGAATCATAGCTGTATTAAATTTACTGTCTGATAATTCTAATATCTCTACCATATTTAATCTGGTTCTGATGCATGCCCTGTCTTTTCAAACTGCATTTTTTGTCTTTTAGTATGCCTTGTAATTTTTTTGACAGCCTGACATGATGTACTGAGTAGAAAGAATTAGGCCTTTAATGTGGAGTTTTATGTTCATCTGGCTACAGGTTAGTCTGTGTTTACTCTTTGCTATAACTATAGATATTAGAAGCTATAATTTCCGCTGTTGTCTTATTTTTTTTTTTTAATCTTCTCTGTTGTCTTTGGCTTTCCATAGAAATTTCTTCCTAAATAATGTCTGAAACATGCTGTTCTTTCAGTTGTATTTCCCTCTTATTACACAGAAGCCTACTTATGTGTTGTTAAGTTGTGTGGTGAGGGAAACCTTTCTACAGGCCTATGATTAGATCTCAGTCTTTTAGTGAGTCCTTTAGTACTCCTAGGTTGTATCTTTCACAATTGCCTCTCAGTTTTTTTTTTTTTTTTCCCCTCCTTAGGTAAGACAGGAAGGCTAGAGGTGGCTGGGATTGGTTATTTCTCTTCCCCTACATGGAAAGCTACCAAGGGCTAGAGTTGGGTATTTTCCTTCCTCCAATTGGGTTAGGCTCTGCTAAACCCCAGTAAATTGGGCTCTCTTTAAATAGCTTGTCTTGAAGTCAGGTCTTGTTAAGAAGAACAGAATACTCTGCGTCTATTTCAAAGTAGCTACTTTTTCCCTCCTCCTGCCAATAATTTGAGGGGATTTTTCTCTGATTTTCACTATGAGAACCTGATAGTGCTCCTGAAGGTCAAACTCACAAAAGTATGGGATCCCTCTGAGAATGTTTAACTTTGAAATTTGTCCACAGTGAGCTTCCAGCAATTCATCAACTACAGTTTAGATTTTCCTACCACACTACCAGTTTCTATAGGGGTTTCTGTCCCTGGGCTTCTGCTCTGGTAAGTTCTGATTCTCAGAGTCCACTTATGTCTCTCTCCAGTTTAGGGGGTAGTAATCATTATTGTCCTGTGACCTCAATTCTCCAATGGATCTAAGAAAAGTTGTTTGTTTTCAGTTCATTCAGCTTTTTTCTTGTTGTGAGGAACAGAGTGAGAACTTCCAAGCTCCCTACATGCCATACTGGAGACTGGAATTCTGTTCTGTATACATGTAATGAATCATTTAATCTCTCTCCATATCTCTAATTCCAGATCTGTACAGGGCAGTCAGTAGTCTTACTCTACACCCACACATGTACTAGGGTTCATATAACATAATATATATGAATGTGCTAAATTTTTATTCATATGGGCAACATTGTAGTTATGTCTATCCTTTGTTAAATTAGCTTAAAACCCATAACCTCTTCTTTTTGAGGAAAATTTACCTTTCTATTATTTTTGACTTCTCCTTTCTTTTTATATAAAATTTGAGTGTTTTCACATGAAACCATGAGAACCTGTACACTGCTAAGGATTAAGTGTAGCTCAGTTCATTGCTTTGCCCTATCAGTGGTGATTAAAGAGCAGACTCCTAGCAGAACAGGTGAGAATATCTGGGGACCAAGTAAAGCCAAGGTTCCTCTGACTGATGCAGTTCACCCACTAACTTTAATGAGATAAATACATAATGAAATGGATAAGGTGTTTCTGATATCCAGAAGTGTCCATTCAGAGTCTCTAAATCAGGACTAGTGAATTGCCTTCAATGTTGTAGGTACATGGAGCTTCTGACTAGCTGCAGGAGAGGAACTTCAGGAAAAGCTACTAATCGATTTCTTTCACTTTTTCACCTGGATAACCTAGATACATGGATATTATTGAAGTAGCTGATCTCTAATATCCATACTATCCTGGAATTTAATAATTAACACTCATATTTTCTACTACCTCTTCATATCTTTTGTTGAATGTTTTCCTCCAAAAGAATATTCATTCTAAATAAATGCTGAGTTGTTTCCTCAAAAAACTTAATATAAATTTTACTGGATAATATAATATTTGTATTTATATAATATTATTTTATTCTGACTCTATTTTGATTTAGCAATTTTTCAAGTTTTTCCAGCCTTTGATTATATTATCAGCTTTGAATATAATGTAACCTTGATTATAATATATAAACTTCATTATAATATATTATGTTTATTTATATATTCTTCAAATCCATATTATTTTTATGATAAAAATCAGGGTAAAAATAATTGTTTCATAATATATGACAATTATTGACAATTATTATATTAAGGATATGTATTCACCCAAAATTTAGAATATCAAAATAGAAGTAGCCCAATTATTCATCCAGCAGTCGATTTTTCAGAAAGCTATTTCAAATAATAAGTTATTACTGCAACATGAATTGCTTTTCAGTAAAATGTATGTAATGGAATACAAAATTAGAAACAAATAAAATTAGAATTTTTTTATTGAGGTAGAATTGACATGTACCATATTAGTTTCAGGTGTACAGTGTCATGATTCGGTATTTGTATATATTGTGAAATGATCACCACAGTAAGTCTAGTTAACCATCACCACACATAGTTATAAAATTTTTTTCTTGTGATGAGAACTTTTAAGATCTACTCTCTTAGCAACTTAAAATTAATTGTGTATATATTTTTTAGGATATTAGCCATTTTACTTTTTCAAAGTAATAGATGTTTTAAACATTTTTTAAATAAATCTTTTGCTGAGAGTTATCACAAAAAACTCTCAGGAGACAATGAATATTATTTCTATTGAAAGACAAGATACATACTATAATTTTAGCCTTTAGTGGGTTTCCAATTGGCCATAAGTAAAACCCAGCATTAAATGGAGCCTTTAAATGATCCTCCTAGTTTTTCCTCTGGCCATTGTGGCTACAGAAACATTGACTTAACAAGCAATTGTTCAATTTAACACATTGGTGGTATTATAAATACATGCTACTATTGAAACAACTCATGAACTTGTCAAAAGTTTCATTGAAATTAAGTAGTGAGTGAGTGAAGTTGACGAGATTTAATTTGGACTGTAATAGAGTGAAATAGTGGTATAAGATAGGTAGACATCTATTGGAGAATTAATGCTCATGATGGGACCGAGGAAGAGCATGGCATGACATGGTAGGGTTTTGAGAAGAAGAGTAAAAAGAGAATGAAAGGAAAGGGGATTTGGCAGGAGCATGTAGAATTGATTGAAGATTGAAAAGACTGAAAGCAGAGAATAAGATGAAGTGTAAAAACAATAAAAATGGATACATTAATAAATAAAACACATATATGCTAAGATTTGGGGGAAAAAAAAACCCCAGAAAGTATTGGGTTATATTTTCACGTACTTTGGTTTTCTGAACTGATTTTATCAGAAAAAGAATTACAAAATAAATACAATAAAGCTATTCCCTTTTAAATTTTTGTGTTGTAACTCAGAATTTATGCAAAATGGAGAGCTAAATTTAGTTTGATTTTGTAGAGTTATTCTGTTATCAAGTTGAATTGGAGACTTCATAGCTTTTTATTTTAATTTTTTTTTAAATGGAGAAAATTTGCATGAATTTGAAAACTTAAGTATCCATCAAATCTTGGAGCTAAAGACTCTTTGGGATAAGTGCTTGCTCATGTGTGAGACTGGAAACACTCAACCGACACAAATTCCGTGTGTATTGAAACTTAGTTTATTTCATTTATTGAAAAATCAATATAAAAAGTGATTTTTGCTTAGGAAGTATGTGCTTATCCAAGATATTGGTGTTAAAGTCTCACTTTTCAGGTTTCCACACTCTGAGAAAGTTTTTCTATTTTTCTTTTATCTATTGTCTTGATTTATTTTTGGTGTTTTGTTTAACTTCCATGAACAGTTGAATTTCTGACTCAACCTTGGACTTTTTGTAGTAGAAACATTGGCAATATGCTTAATTTCTGGGTTTGGATTATTTGGTGGTTCTCAGTAATATTTCTGGAATGTCAATATAATATTGTATGTAACAGGATGAGTAGTATTATCATCTCCATATGATAGAATAAATTTTGGATAAATTTTTACTAGATAAATTATCTGTAGATAAATTTTGACGCTAAGAAAAAAGTGAGAAAGTAAGATTTCTCAGTAGAGAGAAATGTCATTGGACAAAAAGACTATTGCAATGGAATAAAATTACTATCCAAGTGTTTTCTTTTCTCTAGGTCTTATTTTTCTTATGCAAAAGAAAGGGTTGTGTAAGTGATTGCTGAAGTACATTATAAGCCATATATATGCGTATTTATAGCATCTAGGGAAATGATAACTGTAAAAGTTTGGTGCAAAAAGAGAATATAAAAAAATATCTTTTCAATTTTACCTTTTTTGTTGTTTAAATATAGATTTTTGTGAAGAGCATTAGGAAATGGCAGTTTTTATTTTGTTTTGAATTGGTTTTACTGTTTAAAAAAATAATTAGAACTTGCATCGTGGTTGGTTTCAAAGCTAACTCTATTTCTATTTCACTTCTTGTATGTTGAATCTATTAGCCCTTGCACTTTAAAAAGTTCTGAATATTGATGTTAGTTAATTCAGGAAGATGTTCTGTCTGTCAAAATATTAAATATTTTCTGCACATTACTTTGCTTTCTGAAATGACTTGTGTACTCTCATATTCATTTATTATGAGGATTGTCTTTATCTCCAGTAACACAACCTTAGTCAGACATGGGTGAAGTTCTTTTTTTTTTTCAGTAATTTTATTAAGATCATAATGGTTTATAACATTGTATAATTTTGGGTGTACATTATTATTTATCAATTTCTCAATAGACTTCATCATGCTCACCACCAGTAGTCTAATTTTTATCCCTAACCATACATGTGTGCCCCTTTACCCCTTTCACCCACCCTCCAACCCCCTTCCCCTCTGGTAACCACTAATCTGTTCACTTTATCCATGTATTTGTTTATCTTCCACATATGAGTGAAATCATGTAGTATTTGTCTTCTCTGTCTGGCTTATTTCACTTAACATCATACCCTCAAGGACCATCCATGTTGTTGCAAATAGGATGATTTTGCTTTTTTATGGCTGAGTAGTATTCCCTTGTATATATATACCACATATTCTTTATCCATTCATCCACAGAAGGGCAGTTGGGTTGCTTCCATATCTTAGCTATTGTGAATAATGCTATAGTGAACTTAGGATGCATAAATCTCTTTGGATCATTGAGTTCAAGTTCTTTGGATAAATACCCAGTAGTGGGATAGGTGGATCATATGGTATTTATATTTTTAATATTTTGAAAAATCTCCATACTGTTTTCCATAGTGGCTGCACCAGTCAGCATTCCGGCCAGCAGTGCATGAGGGTTCCCTTTTCTCCACATTCTCTCCAACATTTGTTGTTTTTGTCTTGGTAATTATAGCCATTCTGACAGGTGTAAGGTGATATCTCAGTGTAGTTTTGATTTGCATTTCTCTAAAAGTGATGTTGAACATCGTTTCACGTGTCTGTTGGCCATCTGTATATTTTCTTTGGAGAAATGTTTGGTCACATCCTCTGCCCATTTTTTGATTGGGCTGTTTGTTTTTTTGTTGTTGAGTTGTATGAGTTCTTTATGTATTTTAGAAATTAACCCCTTGTTGGATATATGATTTGCAAATATTTTCTCCCAGTTGGTGGGTTGTCTTTTCATTTTGTTCATGGTTTCCTTTGCCTTGCAGAAGCTTTTTAGTCTGATGTAGTCCCATTTGTTAATTTTTTCTTTTGTTTCCCTTGCCTGAGTAGACATGGTATTCGATGTCAAAGAGTGTACTGCCTATATTTTCTTTTAGGAGTTTTATGGTTTCAGGTCTTACATTCAAGTCTTTAATCCATTTTGAGTTAATTTTTGTGTATGGTGCAAGATAATGGTCTACTTTCATTCTTTTGCATGTGGCTGTCCAGTTTTCTGAACACTATTTATTGAAGAGAATTTCCTTTCTCCATTGTAAGTTCTTGGCTCCTTTGTTGAAGATTAACTGTCCATAAGTGTGTGGTTTTATTTCTGGGCTTTCAGTTCTGTTCCATCTATCTGTGTGTCTGTTTCTGTGCCAGTACCACGCTGTTTTGATTACTATAGCTTTGTAGTATATTTTGAAGTCCTGGATTGTGATGCCGCTAGCTTTGTTTTTTCTCAGGATTGCTTTAGCTATAAATTTT